CATGTATGAAATTCTCAAAAACCAAAAAATGTAAATTAAAAATGACTCTTAGTATTGGGGGATACAGAATCTCAAGGGGCCATCTCTTTCAGTCAGGTGAAGCTTCCCGTGGTAGGACTAGGTTACATCCAGTTGAATTGTTGGTTGAGGGAGCCCCACGGGAATTTCCAAATGACCTATGCTGTCACTTACACAGAAGGTTGCTCTCCACAAACTTACAGTGGGACCCCATTGCCTAGAACAACACCCACACAACTCATTGAATGCGGAGAAGTTGAATTGGTGCCTACAGGGAGCCCTCATCCCTACATTCTAGTCTCTGGTGTGGGTAGGTACTGATAGAAACATGAACACCAACACAGCCACAAAGCCTTTGACATATAATCTGTCCTATCTTCAAAATATGCTAGAGCAATGGTGACACAGAACTTGTGGAAGTAGTCAACCAATGTCTGATTTGACTTAAGGCCCACTCCATTAGAAGAAACCCATATTTGACATTGCTTGGGCACCAAAGAACCAGACACCAGATAGTTCAGAAACCTAAGGTAAAGCTTACTAAAAAAAAATCAATAGAATAATTCCTAATGATATTCTGCCATATATTTCAGTCATCATCAGAGAGTCTTTCTCCAGTGGGACTAGATGCAGAGACCCACAGGCAGACATTTTGTAGAGAGAGCTTCTAAATGGGAGGTCTCTGTCAAATCCTTCCCCTCAGAGCTCAGAAAATCCTGTTGAAGAGGAGGTGGAAAGAGTGTAAGAACCAAAGGGGATGAGGAACACAAGGAGAACAAGGCCCTTTGAAAAAACTAAGCAAGGTGCATACAAGCACACAGAGAATGAAGCAGCAAGCACAGGGACTGCACAGGTCCACACAAAATCCTCTGCTTTTATATTACATATAAAATATATTAATATATATTTTTATATATTAACTTAGTATTTTTTTTTTCTTGGATTCATGACTGTGATAATAGGTGGCTCTCTGGCTCTCATGCTTGCTCTTGGAACTCTTATTTTCTCCTGTTGGTTTGCTGTGTCCAACTTTGATATGATAGTTTTTGCTTCGTCTTATTATATTTTATTGTGTCATGTTTGGTTGTTATGTCTGTTCTTTTCTAATGTGAGACAGAAAGGAGATTGATCTGGAGGGGAAGGGAAGGAAAGAACAAAAGAAGGGAGAGGAAGGAAGGGGTAAGTGGAAGGAATAGAAGAAGGAATAGAGGAAGTACAATCAGGATATATTGTATGAGAAAAGAATATATTTTTAATGAAAAGAAAATTTTAAGGAAGAAAAAATAATAAAAGTGTGAAAAAAAAAACAGAAAAATACTCAAAGCCAAAAGAGAAAAGAAACAAAACAACACATAATGATGTCCAATCCATGCAACAGCATATTTTTCAGTAGAAAGTGGCATAAGATTTATACAGTACTGAAGGAAAAAAAAAACAGTGAAGCCATTAAAAAGAGAAAAAAAATGAAGGCATGACAAAGACGTTTCCAGGCAAACAAAAGCTGAGAGAATAAATCTCCACCATACTTGTTCTACAAGAAATGCTTAAGAAAGTTCTTCAAACTGAACCCATGCCTGGTGTGGTGGCATCAGTATTCCCAGTGCTGTGGAAGTAGAGAGGATCAAGACGACATGATCAGCCTCTGCCACATAGTAAGTTGAAAGGTCAGCCTGGAGTATATGTGACTCTGACTCAAGAAACAAACAAACAACGACAAAGCATCAATAACAAAAAAATGGATGCAACATTAAAGAATCAGAAAAAAACGAAGATAAGAATGTTAAATTATGCAGCATCATCCAGAGTGCTGTAAGGTTGTATATTGTGGTATGTAGAGAATAATAATTCAAACCAATTCAAGGAGAAGAACTGTCCAGATTTCTCTAATGCAGCAACCAGGAGATCAGGCCTTGCCCCTCACTTGGGCAGCACAGTAGAGTTGGCCTTGGATATGGGGTTTGCCAGTGAGATGGCCCCAAGGGTGTGAGTATGGAAGAGCCTGCTCTTCCTCTTGTCTGCTGGGCAATGGCATAGACAAGGGAGAAGCATACTCCTCCCCTCTCTCATCCATTGCCATCTATGACAGGCCAAAGATCTGGCCCCAGGGGCATGATATTGGGAGAACTTGCCATGTCCCTCACTGGCTGCGACACTCAGGAGAGCAGGCCCTGTACCTCACCTGGGCAGCAGGGTAGAGCTGGCCCTGGCAGCCTGGTGAGCAGGCCTCAAGGGCATAAGAACTGGAGAGTTGGTGGACTGACCACCTCAGATATTTCTCAGGCCCAAATTTAGGACTTTGAATTGGTCCACTTCAACATCTACCCCATCTATGAAGTGCTGGAGTGTGTGAAGGGGCCAGTTCTACAGATCCAAAGCAACAGGATGTCCATGACACAGGGCAACCAGAGGATATCTGAAAGGAGTTTTGGTGAGGTTTCAGTATTGATATTGTAGCAAAAGCCAAAGGCCTCATGCCAGACCAACAAATCATTGCAATGAACATTTGCAAGTAAAGATGTGTGGGAAACACTGTGACACAGTAATGAAATTTTTTTTTTTGTTGTTGTGGGGAGGTTGCAAGGGTGGAAGGTGGGTAGAAGGGGAGGAGGACATGAGTGGGGTTGGAGTGCATTATGTGAAATTCACAAAGAACCCATAAAAGTAAAATAAAAATAGATTAATATATTAAGCAATAAGCAATACAAAAATGTTTGTTTTCATTCTTATTATATTTCATTCCAATATTATATGTTATTCATATCATAGTTTTTCTTTTGAAAAACAAATCATTTGACACATTAGATCACCACTGGTGTGAGATTATAAACTTTGTTTGGTTTGTTTCATGTTCATGCAAAGGAAAGCTGTAATCAAAACAACTTGGGGTTTTTTAATTCTTCATGATGAAGATTTTTCTAAAGTGTCTGTCCACTGTTACTTTTCTATAAAATAAGCAATAATTTCTTAGCACAGAAAAATCAATGAGTACATTATCTACAGAAAACAGAAATGCTACAAAATTAGCTCTATCTTCATTTAGGCATAAAACAAATTCTTTCCATATTGCTTATTGCTTGTACCATTCAGGGCCAAACACGTCACAATTCTTCATTCTTTGCATCTTTAACAGTTGTAATTATCTGTATCAATTGGCATCTACAGAATAAACAAGCTTCTCTGGTGAGAGTAGAGATACAAAGGTAGATTTGAGTAAAACACAACACACAAATATGTGAATATTAAAGACTTATCTTTCAAAAAGAGGACATGATGCTAGGATGAAGAGGGTTGGAGACACCAAGAAGAGCTAGAGGGAGGTAGGGGTGAATGGATATGACCAAATTGCATTGTTTCAATATATGAACTTTCATAAAATTAAAAAAATGTTATTTAAAAAGAAATTTAAAACCTGGTACCATTATACAACAACAGTTATTGCTCACACAGCAGGGGATAGCGTGCTTCATATCATAGTATTGTTTGAAGAGGTGAGTTACATGCATTACAAGTCACTAGGTCTTTGGTATACTTAATACACAAGGAACAGCACATTGTATTACCAACAAATTAACTTATAGTAATAATGATTGTGAAAAAAGCTTCCTTTTAGACAGTTTAATTTCTGTCTTGAATTTTGGTGATTAAAAGAATGGTGCCAAGGCACTCAAGAAAAGGCTCCAATGGCAACATACTAATGTAAGTGATGGTTTGAATTTAAGCAAGAATCAGTCCTCCATTTTCAGTGCCTGGTCCAAAAAGCAAGTAAACAAACAAACAAAAAACAAAAAATAAAAAAAGCAACTTACCAGATTTTCATGAATTTTCTATATATCACATCTACAAGGAATTCCTTGTTACTGCTTAACTTCTCTTTAATTCTAGCACCTAATAAACTTTGTTAAAAAATCTGCTTTATTTAAAAGTATAACCAACTATATCTGAAATAGTTCTTTTATGAAAATAAAAGTGTATTACTTAATTTACATCAGGGACATATCACCAAGACATAGACTAGGACTTTCCTTGATCTTTCCTCCCATAGCAACATCAATTCAAATATCAAGTCAAACAGGAAAATACTTTCATAAGATGTAAGGACAAGTGAAAAGAGTATAGCAAGTAAATCAGAAATGAGGACAGAAGGGAGGACAATTTCACATTATGTGCATTCCTGCCACTCAGTCCTAGACTTCATATCCTGGAGACATATCTTCTAAGTGAGGGAGAGAAAGGAAGATAAGCACTGGACATTATCTCAAAGTCTAGATCAAAATTGATGTCATACTTCACATAAGACAAATACTGGTAGGTTGATTTTTTTAAAAATAATTATTTATTTAAAATTATAATTCTGACAGGTAGCAAAAGGCTCAAGGGAAATATTCTTCCCTTAGACTTGTTGTCAGTTGATCAATTTTTGGCTGATAAAAGTTTTTTTTTTTAACTTTTTCTGTGAAACTTCTTGAAAACTATCACATTGGAAGTTTTCTTTAGCTTTCCATTTTAACCATGGAAGACACTACACACACATTTGCAAGACCATCATAGCTATATTTGGTCTTTAATGCTGTGTCTATTATCTGTATACCAGAGATCCTTCTCAGGCCTAACTGTAAGCACATTAGTGTCAGGGTAAATGAAACAGATGAACCTGGTATCAGTTTATCAAGGTAACTTCCAGAGTGTCCACACCAACGAACAGAAGTTGTATCTTGCGTTTTCACAAACAGTTTTATCATCCTATCAGTGCAATTTGTTATCTTGCAGGTAATCTGAAAAGGTTCTTCTAAGCTTACAATATCTGGAATTTTCTGCAAAGACAGCTTCAGGGCGCCACAACTTTGAGCTTCTCTTTCAAGTGGCATGGTGTATAGCTTTGACTTCTCACTAAGTTCCTTTTTCCACTCAATCTTTAACTTGCCCATTTCCATAGAGCTGGTAAGGGTTCTTGCTTTATATAAATATTCTTTCTTTATCCACAGGTGGAATAAGTAGTGACGTCCTTCTTTTGCCTGCAAATATGTTCTGGTTCCAAAAGTACACTGATTTTCTCCATCCAGGTTGAGGGTATTCAATGCTTCTTCAATGTACATTTCAGGTAAGTCCAAGGAAACCTTTTTTATAAAAATAGTTGAAGGTGAAATGTTCTGGATCTGGATTTCAAGAAATAAGTCATCTTTGTCTGAATTGTAAAACTTGGTTTTGACATCCAGTGATTTGGAAGAAGAAAAACAGAGTTTCCTTAAAAACATCTTTGAGCACTGAGTTCAAAACAGACATTGAACTCAGGGGAACAATTCTCCCAGAGTCCATTATTTTGTCATGAATGACATCATCAATACAATGTTCTACCACTGTAGCTGTGAAACCAAACATGTAAGGGCTGAGTTCTTGTATAAAAACCAGTGTTATCAGTATTCCCTTGTTATGATTTGATTGTTACCACTGAAAATCCTCATGTAACCGTAATTTTCCCTGTTTCTCAACAATATAGCTATGAGGATTTATAGCGATGTCAATCTACACTTTAAATATTTATATTTCTGGTACAGGGCTACTTCCCATGAGATAGAGAAATTAACAGGAAATTCAGTACCACATGTGTCCTGAAAATTGGTGAAAGAAATTATGCTTAATAGATAACATCACAGGGCTGGAGAGATGGCTCAGTCATTAAGAATAGATATCACCTTGAGTATCAGAACTATTCATGGACTATTCATGACTATTCATGGAGAAAACCTAGAACCCCTGCACAGATGTAGCCCATGGCAGTTCAGTGTCCAAGTGGGTTACATAGTAGTGGGAAGAGGGACTGTCTCTGACATGAACTGATTGGCCTGCTCTTTGATCACCTCCCCCTGAGGGGGGAGCAGCCTTACCAGGCCACAGAAGATGACAATGCAGCTACTTCTGATGAGATCTGATAGACTAAGATCAGAAGGAAGGAGAGGAGGACCTCTATCAGTGGACTTGGGGAGGGGCATGCATGAAGAAGGGGGAGGGAAGGTTGGATCGGTAGGGGAGGAGGGAGGGGCTTATGGGGAAATACAAAGTGAATAAAGTGTAATTAATAAAAGTTAAATACAAAATTTAAAAAATCCCAAAACCCCAGTCTGTATAGATTCCTCTTTACTTGACTACAACTGTACTTTATTAAAATGTATCCAATATTTGTTTTAACTAGGCATTTCAGAAACAAGGTAGAGTGCTTGATTCAGCAGCACATATACTAAAATTGGAACAATACAGAGAAGATTACCACAACACATATGAAAGGATGACATGCAAATTTGTGAAGCGTTCCATATTTTTTTATTTTTTTTTACAGTTTATTCATTTTTTTTAAAATTTTATCCCCCCATAAGCCCCTCCCTCCTCCCCTCCCGATCCCACCCTCCCTCCCCTTTCTGCATGCATGCCACTCCCCAAGTCCACTGATAGGGGAGATTCTCCTCTCCTTTCTGATCTTAGTCTATCAGTTCTCATCAAAATTGGCTGCATTGTCCTCTACCGTGGCCTGGTAAGGCTGCTCCCCCCTCAGGGGGAGGTGATCAAAGAGCAGGCCAATCAGATGATGTCAGAGGCAGTCCCTCTTCCCATTACTATGGAACCCACTTGGACACTGAACTGCCATGGGCTACATCTGTGCAGGAGTTCTAGGTTATCTCCACGAATAGTCCTTGGTTGGAGTATGAGTCTCTGGGAAGTTCCCTGTGTTCAAATTATCTTGTTCTGTTGCTCTCCTTGTGGAGTTCCCGTCCCCTCCAGCTCTTACTATTTCCCACTTCTTACATAAAATTCCATTTACTCTACCTTGAAACCTGCCACAGAGGGCCTCTGAAAGCCTCTGCAGTATAGACTGTCAAAGGAGATGCTGAGCCTGATGGCCAACTGATGGGCAGCGTTCCATATTTTTAAAAGGAAAAATACAACTCAAGGAAACTAACTACTTTCAGGAAAACTCAGGAAATAAATAACCTTACTACAGCAAAAGTAAAAGTAGCCAAGCACAGAAATACACTAACAACCAACATCAAAATCAAAGGCTATAACAGGCACTGGTCATTAATCTCTCTCAATATCAATGGACTCAATTCTCCAATGAAAAGACAAAAACTAACAGAATGGATGTGTGAACAAGACCCAACAATCTGTTGCTACAAGAAACACATCTAAGTCACAAAGATAGACATCATCTGAGAGTAAAGGGATGGAAGACAGTTTTCCAAGCAAATAGATCCAAGAAGCAAGCAGGAGTAGCCATTCTAATATCTAATAAAATAGACTTTCAACCAAAATTAATCAAAAGAGATGGGGAAGGACACTCCATACTCATCAAAGAAAAATTCAACCAAGGAGACATCACTATCCTGAACAACTATGACCCAAATACAAGGACACCCACATTTGTAAAAGAAACATTAATAAAGCTTAAGCCACACATAGATCCCCATGCATTAATAGTGGGAGACTTCAACACCCCACTCTCAACAAAGAACAGGTCAACAAAACAGAAATTAAACAGAGAAACAATGGTTCTAACAGAGGTCATGAATCAAATGGACCTAACTGACATCAACAGAACCTTTCACCCAAATATAAAAGAATTTATCTTCTTCTCAACACCTCATGGAATCTTCTCCAAAATATACCATACAGTTGGTCACAAAGTAAGCCTCAACAGATACAAGCAGATTGAAATAATCCCTTTTATTCTATCTGACCAACATGGACTAAAGCTTGAACTCAACAACCACAGAAATAGCAAAAAGCCTGTACAAACATGGAAACTGAACAACTTGCTACTAGATGACAGCTGGGTGAGGAAAGAAATAAAGAAAGAAATTAAAGTCTTCCAAGAATTCAATGAAAATGAAGGCAAAACATACCCAAACTTATGGGACAAAATGAAAGCATTGCTAAGAGGAAAGTTCATACCATTAAGTACCTTCAAGAAGAAAGTCAAAACATCTCATTCAAGCAAATTAATGACTCACGTAAAAGCCCTGGGAAAAAAAAGAAGCAGACACAACCAAGAGCAGTAGATGACTGGAAATAATCAAACTCAGGGTTGAAATCAATAAATTAGAAACAAATAAACCAATTCAAAGACTCAATGAAACCAAGAGCTAGTTCTTTGAGAAAATAAAAAAGACAGAGAAACCCTTAGCCAAACTAAGTAAAGGGAAGAAAGACATTCTCCATATCAACAAAATCAGAAATGAAAGGGGGGCATAACAACAGACACTGTGGAAATCCAAACAATCATTAAGTCTTGTTTCAAAAGCCTATACATTTCAAAATTTGAAAATCTAAATAAAATGGGCAGTTTTCTTGATCGATTCCACTTAGCAAAGCTGAACCAAGAGCAGATAAATAAATTAAATAGTCCTATATCTTCGAAGGAAATACAAACTGTCATCAAAAGTCTCCCATCCAAAAAAGCCCATGGCCAGATGGTTGTGGTGCAGCATTCTACCAGATCTTCAAAGAAGAGCTAATACCAATACTCTTCAAACTATTCCACAAAATAGAAACAGAAGGAACATTGCCAAACTCATTCTATGCAACCACACTCACTTTGGTACCTAAACCTCACAACGACCCAACAGAGAAAGAGAATTTCAGACCAATCTCCCTTATGAACATTGATGCAAAAATACTCAACAGAATACTCGCAAACAGGGTTGGAGAAATGGCTCAGAGGTTAAGAGTCTTGGCTCCTCTTCCAGAAGTCATGAGTCCAATTCCCAGCAACCACATGGTGCCTCACAACCATCTATAATGAGATCTGGTGCCTTCTTATGGCATGCAGGTGTACATGCAGACAGAACATTGTATACATAATAAATATATAAATTTAAAAAAATACTCGCAAACTGAGTACAAGAACACATCGAAAATATCATCCACTATGACCAAGTAGTATTCATCCAAGGTATGCAGGGGTGGTTTAATATATGGAAATCCATCAATGTAATTCACCATATAAACAAACTGAAAGAAAAAAAACCCATATGATAATTTCCTGAAAAATCATTTGACAAAATCCAACACCCATTTATGTTTAAAGTCTTGGAGAAATCAGGAATACAAGGCACTTACCTAAACATAGTAAAGGCAATCTACAGCAAGCCTATAGCCAACATCAAACTAAATGGAGAGAGACTTAAAGCAATCCCACTGAAATTAGGGACAAGGCAAGGCTATCTACTCTCTCCATCATATCTCTTCAACATAGTTCTTGAAGTCTTTGCTAGAACAGAAAGAGATCAAGGGGATACAAATTGGAAAGGAAGAAGTCAAAGTATCACTATTTGCAGATGATATGATTGTATACATGAGTGAACCCAACAATTTTACCAGGGAAAACCTAGAGCTGATGAACACCTTCAGCAAAGTGGCTGGATACAATATTAACTCAAAACAATCAGTAGCCCTCCTGTATACAAAATACAAATGGGCTGAGAATGAAATTAGGGAAACTACACCCTTTACAATAGCCACAAAGGACATAAAAATACCTTGGTGTAACCCTAAACAAGCAAGTCAAAGACTTGTATGAAAAAAATTTCAAGGCTCTGAAGAAAGAAGTAGAAAAAGATATCAGAAGATGGAAAGATCTCTGATGCTCATGGCTTGGAAGGAGTGACATAGTAAAAATAGCCATCTTACTAATAGCAATCTACAGATTCAATGTAATTCCCATCAAATTACCAACACAAACTTTTACAAAACTTGAAAGAAATATTCTCAACTTCATATGGAATAACAAGAAACCCAGAATCACTAAAACAATCCTCTACTATAAAAGGACTTCTGGAGGTATCTCCATCCCTGATCTCAAGCTGTATCATAGAGCAATAGTAATAAAAACTGCATGGTACTGACATAGAAACAGAATGGCATATCAAATGGAATTGGATAGAAGACCCAGAAAAAAACCCACACACATATGGACATCTGATTTTTTACAAATGCCAAAACCACACAATGGAAAATAGATAGCATCTTCAACAAATGGTGCTGGTCTAACTGGATATCTACATGTAGAAAAATACAAATAGATCCATATTTATCACCCTGCACAAAAATAAAGTCCAAGTGTATCAAAGACCTCAATATAGAACCAGACAAAATAAACCTGTTAAGAGAAAAAGTGGGGAAGAGCCTTGAACTCATTGGCACAGAAGACAACTTCCTAAACCGAACACCAACAGCACAGGCTCTAAGATCAACAATCAATAAATGGGACCTCATGAAACTGAAAATCTTCTGTAAAGCAAAGGACACCGTCGTCAGAATAATCGAGAGCCTACAGTTTGGGAAAGGATCTTCACTAACCCTATATCTGACTGAGGGCTAATATCAAAAATATATAAAGAACTCAAGAAGTTAAAGAGCCACAAATCAAGTAATCCAATAAAAATGGGGTACAGAATTAAACAGACAGTTCTAAATAGAGGAATATCAAATGGCAGAGAAACACTTAAATGCTCAACATTCTTAGTCATCAGGGAAATGCAAATCAAAATGATCCTGAGATTTCACCTTACACCCATCAGAATGGCTTAGATCAAAATCTCAGTGAAAATACATGCTGGAGAAGATGTGGAGAAAGGGTAACCCTCTTCCATTGCTGGTAGGAATGAAAACTCGTACAACCACTTTGGAAATCAATCTGGCAATTTCTCAGAAAATTAGCAATAGTACTACCTCAAGATCCAGCTATGCCACTCCTGAGTATATATCCAAAAGATGCTCAAATATAAAACATGGACATTTGCTCAACCATGTTTGTAGCAACTTTATTTGTAATAGCCAGAAGCTGGAAACAACCCTGATGTCCCTCAGTTGAGGAATGGATACAGAAATTGTGGTACATTTACACAGTGGAATACTATTCAGCAATTAAAAACAAGAAAATCCTGAAATTTGCAGGCAAATGGTGTGATCTAGAAAAGATCATCCTGAGTGAGGTAATCCAGAAACAGAAAGACACACATGGTATGTACTCATTTATAAGTGGAAATTAGGCATATAATATAGGATAATCATACTAAAATCTATACACCTAAAGAAGCTAATCAAGAAGAAGGCCCTGGGTGAGATGATCAATTGTCATTCAGAAACCAAACGGGATGGATATTGGAAGAGGGAGAAAACAGGGAACAGGAAAGAAGCCTATCACAGAGAGCTTCTGAAAGACTCTACCCTGCAGGGTATCAAAGTAGACGCTGAGACTCACAGCCAAAATTTGGGCAGATTGCAGGGAATGTTATGAAATAAGGGGGAGATTGAAAGACTTAGAG